AGCTCTAGCAGTTTTGGGGTGGAGTCTTTTGGGTTTTCCACATAAAGTATCATATCATCTGCAAGGAGTGAGAGTTTGACTTCTTCTTTGCTGATTTGGATGCCTTTTGTTTCTTTTTGTTGTCTGATTGCTGAGGCTAGGACTTCTAGTACTGTGTTGAATAGCAGTGGTGATAGTGGACATCCCTGCCGTGTTCCTGACCTTAGGGAAAAAGCTCTCAGTTTTTCCCCATTGAGAATGATATTTGCTGTGGGTTTTTCATAGATGGCTTTTATGATATTGAGGTATGTACCCTCTCTCCCCACACTCTGAAGAGTTTTATTCAAGAAAGGATGCTGTGCTTTGTCAAATGTTTTTCTGCATCTATTGAGAGTACAATATGGTTCTTGTTCTTTCTTTTACTAATGTAGTGTATCACATTGATTTGTGGATTGCCGCTCAGGAATAAATCCCACTTGGTTGTGGTGAATAATCCTTTTAACGTACTATTGGATAGTATTTTGGTGAGAATTTTTGCATCCATGTTCATCAGGGATATTGGTCTGTAATTCTCCTTTTTGGTGAGGTCTTTGTCCAGTTTTGGGATCAAGGTAATGCTGGCCTCATAAAATGAGTTTGGAAGTTTTCCTTCCATTTCTATTTTTTGGAACAGTTTCAGAAGAATAGGTATTAATTCTTTAAATGTTTGGTAGAATTCCCCTGGGAAGCCATCTGGCCCTGGGCTCTTGTTTGTTGGGGAGATTTTTGATTACTGCTTCAATTTTCTTGCTGGTTATGGGTCTGTTCAGGTTTTCTATTTCTTCCTGGTTCAGTTTTGGTAGTTTATACATCTCTAGGAATACATCCATTTCTTCTGGATTGTGTGATTTGCTGACATATAGTTGCTCATAATATGTTCTTATAAATGTTTGTATTTCTTTGGTGTTGGTTGTGATCTCTCCTCTTTCATTTATGAGTTTATTTATTTGAGTCCTTTCTCTTTTCTTTTTGATAAGTCTGGCCAGGGGTTTTTCATCTTATTTATTCTTTCAAAGAACAAGCTCCTAGTTTTGTTGATTTGTTCTACTGTTCTTTTGGTTTCTGTTTCATTAATTTCTGCTCTAATCTTTATTATTTCTTTTCTCCTGCTGGATTTAGGCTTTATTTGCTGTTCTTTCTCCAGCTCCTTTAGGTGTAAGGTTAGGTTGTGTATTTGAGACCTTTCTTGTTTCTTGAGAAAAGCTTGTATTGCTATATACTTTCCTCTTAGGACCGCCTTTGCTGCATCCCAAAGATTTTGAACAGTTGTGCTTTCATTTTCATTTGTTTCCATATAATTTTTTAATTCTTCTTTAATTTCCTGGTTGGCCCATTCATTCTTTAGTAGGATGCTCTTTAGCCTTCATGTATTTGAGTTCTTTCCATCTTTCCTCTTGTGATTGAGTTCTAGTTTCAAAGCATTGTGGTCTGAAAATATGCAGGGAATGATCCCAATCTTTTGGTACTGGTTGAGACCTGATTTGTGACCCAGTATGTGATCTGTTCTGGAGAATTTTCCATGTGCACTTGAGAAGAATGTGTATTTTGTTGCTTTGGGAAGGAATGTTTTGAATATATCTATGAAGTCCATCTGTTCCAGTGTGTCATTTACAGCCCTTATTTCCTTGTTGATCTTTTGCTTAGATGATCTGTCCATTTCAGTGAGGGGGGTGTTAAAGTCCCCTACTATTATTGTGTTGCTGTTGATGTGTTTCTTTGATTTTGTTATTAATTGACTTATATAATTGGCTGCTCCCATATTAGGGGCATAAATACTTAAAATTGTTAGATCTTCTTGTTGGATAGACCCTTTAATTATGGTATAGTGTCCTTCCTCATCTCTTATTACAGTCTTTGGTTTAAAATCTAATCTGTCTGGTATAAGGATTGCCACCCCAGCTTTCTTTTGATGTCTGTTAGCATGATAAATGGTTTTCCATCCCCTCATTTTCAATCTGGAGGTGTCTTTGGTTCTAAAATGAGTCTCTTGCAGAGAGCATATCGATGGGTCTTGCTTTTTTAATCCAATCTGATACTCTTGTGTCTTCTGATTGGGACATTTAACCCATTTACATTTCAGGCCTTTTGGTCCAATTTTAAATGGAATTGTTTTCTTAATTTTTTTTTCTCCTGCTCTGTTATTAGTGTATAGAAATGCACCTTATTTCTGTGTATTAATTTTGTATCCTGCAACTTACTGAGTTCATTTATCAGTACTGATAGTGTTTTGGTGGAGTCTTTAGGGCTTTCTCTGTACAGTAACATGTTACCTGCAAATAGTAACAGTTTTCTTAATTCCTTACCAGTTCAGATGCCTTTTATTTCTTTTTCATGTCCAATTGCTGTAGCTCAGACCTCCATTACTGTGTTGAATAAAGGTGGTGTGAGTGGACATCCTTGTCTTTTACCTGATCTTAGCGGAAAAGCTTTCAGTTTTTCACTATTGAATGTGATGTTTAGCTCTGTGTTTTCCATATGAGGCCTTTATTATGTTGAGGTATGTTCCAGCTAAAATATTTTGTTGATAGTTTTTATCATGAGTGGATGTTGTATTTTATCAAATGCTTTTTCTGCATCTATTGAGATGATCATATAATTTTTATCCTTCATTTTCTTAATGTATTATATTGATTTGCAAATATTGAACCACCGTTGCAACCTTCGGAATAAATCTCATTTGATCATGGTGAATGATTTTTTAAAAAAATGTATTGTTGAATTCAGTTTGATAATATTTTGTTGAGGATTTTTATACGTATGTTCATCAGAAATTTTGGTCTGTGGTTATCTTTTTTTGTGGTATCTTTGTCTGGTTTTGGTGTCATCCCCATAGAATGAATTTGGACATTTCCCTTCCTCTTCTAGTTTTTGGAATAGTTTGAGAAGAATAGGTACTAACTCTTAATGTTTGGTAGAATTCACCTGTGAAGTCATCTGGTCCTGGGCTTTTGTTTGTTGTGAGTGTTTTGATTACTGATTCAGTTTTATTTCTAGTAGTTGGTCTGTTCCAATTTTCTATTTTTAATGTGTTAAATAGACTTTTATTATAAAAATACTTTAATAAATGTAAACATATAAGTAATGTGGAGTAATAAATATTCTATAAAATTTTTATATAGTCTGAATTTTGTTTGCTGATTCTGTATTTTTGCATTTAGGTTCATAAATGATTTGTTCTTCAATTTTCCTTTCTTGCAGTATCCTTTAGGTATATATACCAAATACTAAAGGAAAAATCCTGACTTATAATCTTGTCTTGAAATTACTCCTAATTCTTAACAGTTCACCTAAATCCTTCCTGTTTAAGGATGATTGCTCCTACTAATGTCAGTTTGCAATTTCTGATTTAGGTATGTGTCATATGGGAGTCTGTAAAGTCTTAGTATGATTGTATTACTGTTAATACAGAATCCCCCCCATGGTGCACTTCTACCATTTTTTATTGAGATAATTCACATACAAAATAATTTACATTTTCATCATCTTGGAAAGAAACCCCATGCCCATTAGCAGTTATTCCCCATTTAGTGCTCCCTCCAGCCCCTGGCAATCACTAAATCTACTTTCTGTTTCTAGGAATTTACCTATTTTGGATATTTCCTATAAATGGAACTGTACAATATGTGGCATTTTTGTGTCTGGTTTCTTTCACTTAGCAAACTATTTTCAGGGTTGCTCCATGTTACGGCATATATTAATACTTCAGTCCTTTTTATGGTTCTTAGGATGACCCTCCTTGTGTGGACTAAAATAGAGACCTCTCTCTTACGAACTAGAATGTTGTGTAACAAAAAGAATAGAACTCTTACTACAGCTGTGAAATTGTCTACATTAGCAAATTTTAGGAGGATAAGTAAAAATAAATGAATTTCAGGCCAGTATTGGAAAAAATTCGTCAAGGATCTTTCTATGATTATTGTACTTTAATACAATTTTATTGTTCCCTAGCTTTCTAACTCTCTGGGGTTTGTGTCCTATTGTGACTGTGGGTTGTGAATATTATTTTAAACTCCAGTAGAATCTGGATTAAGGCCTTGGGAATTGCTATTTTATTTATTTTCTTTCCATTGGCATAATAAAATCATTCTAGAGAATTCTGTGGATGGTTTGAAAGTTAAGGAAAAAAATGCAGAACTATTCCTTTTACCAGAATATTTGTTTCACATGGGATTATTTTAATTATTTAGTATTTATTGGCTGTCAGTTTCAAGTGTTCTAAGTGTCTTAGGTAGAAAAATTTACTAAAATTTCAAAATAGCCAAAAGAATAAAATAAAATTTCAAAATAGCCTTATAGGACTGGTGCTAATAATTATCCTCATTTTCTAGATAAATCAGTAGAGATTTAGGGAAATTGGGTAACTTGTCCAAGGTTACACATACAGTAATAGAGTTTGACTGTACTTAGGCAGTCTGACCTTAATTATACTGTTATTGTAGTGTGTGTTCCTTGCATTTGCAGTTTAGCCAGCATGTATCAATTTCTGAAGTGTGTAGAATGTTTTATGTATCATAGAGTGCCTTCACAGTGTCTCATTTAATATTCTCAACACATCTAGGAGCAAGGTTGAAGTAGGTATACTTTCTTTTACTTAATACTGTATTTCCAGAATTTTTGTTTAGATAGTAAATGTTTGTTTATTCAGAGTTACATATTAAAGATATACTAGATAACAGGCACTGTATTAAGTTCTAGATTTCAAAGATGAATTATACTGAATGCTCCCATTTAGAAAGAAAGTTAAGATATAAATTATGATACAAAATAGAAAATGCCACAATAACAGGGTGTTCTGGGAGATCAGAATAGTGAGAAGTTGTTCTGTATTGATTCTTTTTCTCTTGTCTTATCGCTTGTTTTATTTTAGCATTCTAACTCTTAAGATTTCACAGTAATGGCTTGACCATTCAGTTGTTAGTCATTCCAAGGCCTATTATTGCTTTTGAAAATAACCTAGAACGTATGGTTTTATTTGGTTTTAGGGAATGACAGAGGAAGAGGAAGACAAACTCTTGGCACTGAAAGACTTCATGATGAAATCTAACAAAGCAAAGGCCAATATAGTAGACCAGAGCCATCTCCATGATAGTAGTCAGAAAGGTGTAATTGACTTAGCAGCATTAGGCATAACTGGGAGACAAGTTGATCTTGTTAAAACCAAACAGGAACCTGATGATAAGCGAGGTTAGTATATTTACTGTGTGTTGTGTGTGTGTTTGTGTTTAGCTTGTTATTATTTACTTCATAAGGCTAGTTATAGCTAATGAGTAGTAAAATAAAATCACATTTCCCAAATATAGAACATTCAAGTACTGTGGGTGGCTCCATTATGTAGCAGGAAAATTTGCGGGGAGGGGGAGGAAAGTGGAGAATTGAATTAACAGTTAAATGGTTGTATAACCTGTCAAAATCATGGCTCTGTGTGCCTAATTCTGGATTCAAACCAAAGCTTGACTCCAAAGCTCTGCTCTTATAATGAAATCATGTTGCCTTTATGGAGATGTATATTGAAGATGAAATCCTATTTTTTAATCCTTTAAACACCAACCCAGGGTCAATAGTATATGTTAAAATGAGATAGTTATCTAGTTTGTTTTAGTAGGTAATGCCCAGTGAATTGAAAAGAACAGTCTTGTTATTAACAATGAAATACAAGAGAGTAGACACCAGAGAAGACTTAATTATTTGAAATCTCAAGATTTAGAACTGTCAGCTATTGTGACAAGGATGTTGATTGACATTGACTGTATGAAGTTTTTAAGATCTTGTGTGTTCTTCCTTTAATCCTTTCTGAGATGTACTTACTTCCAAGTACATGCCTTTAAAAACCATTCTATTCTAGTATCAGATTTTAAGGGCAGCTGAATTATATTTAAAATAAACCTCTAACTGCCAAACTTGGGATAAAGTATTTGGAACTTAATTATCTGTGGTTTACATCGATAATAAGTAAAACACTGATACAGATTATAAGAAAAACAGAAGCACCCCAAAAGAAAAATATTGAAGGATTTGAACTTACAAGTGATAGAATAGAAATGTATGTTTGAAAAGGTAAGTAAATGCAAAACGATAAGATGCCCTTTTCTGCCATGTGATTAGCAAAGGCTGATTGATAATACCTATTGTTAGTAAGGATATAGGGAAATAGGCATTTTCATACACTGTTGATAGATTATAAATTGAACATAACTCTTTTTAGAAAGCAGTGTCCTTACTCTTTGAGTCACCATTTTCAATTCTGGAAATTTCTCCCAAGAAATACTGACAGGCATGTGAAGAAATATGTATAAAGAATAAAGGAGAAATAATTGAAGTGTTCATTAATAGGGGGATAGTTAAACATTCATTGTATTTAGTTAAGAGAAAAACAGGTTGTGAAACACTTTGTACTATTTTATTTTTGCAAAATGATATGGTGTATCATTTAAACTATGTAGCCTGTGAGGTTTACAAAGTTATGGGGGCAATTCATATTATATTTTGGTAATGCTAGAATTTTGTGTTATTTAATATACTTTTTGTAATCGGAGAAAGATTTTTTAAAAAGGGTTTCTCTTTACAGTCAAGAAGTAAGTGTATAGCAGTTGATTTTTACATTTTGTTTGTTTCCTAAATAACTGATACTAGAAATAGGTCATATTTAGCAGTGTGGCCAGTGACATTTGAAAAAGTTGTTTTTATTGTTGGTTCTTGAGATAAAGTGGTTATTTGAAATTGAGCTAGCCTTGGGAAACTATGAAGCAATTAGGCCTAATTATTAATACCATTGAAAGTGCATCTGTTCCATCTGTCCCAGAGATAAAGTGAGAGTTAATGAGTTGATGTGTAAATATAAATAATAGACCATAAAGAACAAATAGGATGTGAAGTCCATTGCTGTCCTTCCCCCACCAAAAAAATAAATAAAAGCGTGTATTGGTTTTAGAGGTTTTGTTTAGACTGACTCTTCTGAATCTGTTTTCATAGCTAGAAAACACGTAAAACAAGACTCAAATGTAAATGAAGAATGGAAAAGCATGTTTGGGTCACTGGAACCACCGAACATCCCACAGGCCCTACCTAAAGGGAGTGACCAGGAGGTGATTCAGACCGGGAAACCACCTCGTTCTGAGTCCTCTGCTGGCATTTCTGTCCCTTTGTCAACTTCTCCACAGGTACTATCACCTTGGCAATAATCCTCCTTTTGTCTTTTCAATTCCATTCTACTGTTTTGGGTTGTTTAAAGGCTGTGTACTATACCGGAAAAATCAATATAGTGAGTTGTCCTTTTGGGAGGATATGTTTCTTTTTTTCCTTCAAATTTTTATTTAAATTCTACTTAGTTAGCATATAGTCTAATTTTGTTTTCAGGACTAGAATTTAGTGATTCATCCCTTACATATAACCCCCAGTGCTCTACACAAGTGCCCTTCTTAATGCTCATCACCCATTTAGCCCATCCCCTGTCCACCTCCCCTCCAGTAACCCTCAGTTTGTTCTCTATTGTTAAGGACATGTTTCTTTCTAAAAACAGGTTTATCTTTAATTTTATAGCCAAGGGGAAGTCTGATTATTGAAAGCATCAAAAAAGGTCTTGTGTTAGAGTACTCACCAATAAAGTGATCTAAAATTGTGGGTTGAAGACCTCATTATGAACTGTGATTATAATTAGGGTAGAGTGAACCTTTTAAATCTGCTTTTATTCTTCCTCTAATATGATATACCTGTAAAATAGCAAAAATACTCCTGGAAGAAAAGTCTGTAGTTTGCCATGTGTGAGAAATGTAATGATGATTTTTATACATTTGAAATAAATTTGTAATTTAAGGTAACTCTTCCCTAAGCCAATCATATTTTAAATGAAAAATATTAACTGAACCAACTGATAGAATTCTATTTCTTTTCACTTAAATTAATGAGGATTTTTGTTTAATGTTATTACTGTACTGATAGTTGTTTTTTTTTTTTTTAAATAATGTAGAGGCTTGGAAATGTAATTTTTGTGGTTAGTCTTTTTTTTTTTTTTAAGATTTTATTTATTTATTTATTTGAGAGAGAGAGAGAGAGAGAGTGGGAACAAGCAGGAGGAACGGCAGAGGGAGAGGGAGAAGCAGACTCCCTGCTGATCAGGGAGCCCAATGTGGGATTCGATCCCAGGACCCTGGGATCATGACCTGAGCCGAAGGCAGACGCTTAACTGACTGAGCCACCCAGGCGTCCCTGTGGTTAGTCTTTATTTTAGTGAGGTTTTCACTGAAAAAATGTCATTGTATTTAAATGGATTTAAAAATTGGTACATTAATAAGGAAAAAAGCGGATATAATGAATAGACAGAAAGGACATGGGTACAGTTTTATCATTGAGTATACTTTGCTTATGACATAAATAGTTATAATTCTGTTTTCCAGCTTCCAGAAGTGACAAATGTCCAAAATAGAAAACCAACAATACAGGTTTTAAGTAGTACAATTTTACCGTCTACCTACCAGATTCGGATCACAACTTGTAAAACGGAACTTCAGCAGCTCATCCAGCAGAAGCGGGAGCAGTGTAATGCTGAGAGGATAGCTAAGCAGATGATGGAAAATGCGGAATGGGAGAGTAAACCACCACCACCTGGTAAAATCCCACTGCTAGGTAGTTGTATTCTAGCCTCGGTGCTGAAGCCTACAATCTAATGCAGGATAATTAAGGAAGTAAGAACAAAACTGTCACTTGGAAGCCCAGAGGAAGAAGCATTAAGTGAGAAATTTTAAGTCATTGTTTGTGGAGTTTGGATCTTCTTGGCTGTGGGGGCAACTTGCAGGTCTTGTTTAGGCTGCTTAGTGTTTCAGCCTGTCTGTGGTCCATTTTCTCCATTTATAGTGCTAAGTTTTACCTGCCTGTTTAGTGTCATGCCACTTTTTCATAGAATGTCAGTCTTCTTGGAATAAGCTCCAGCTTTTAATTTGAAGGGTTTAATATCTATTTATTTTCTTTAAAAAACGGTAAAGCATTTGTAAAGTAATGGGTACTTTTTAAATTTTTTTTTATTTTTTAAAGATTTTATTTATTTATTTGAGAAAGAGAACGAGCAGGGAGAAGGACAGAGGGAGAGGGAGAAGCAGGCTCCCTGCTGAGCGGGAAGCCTGATGTGGGGCTCTATTCCCAGGACCCTGGAATCATGACCTGAGCCGAAGGCAGACGCTTAACTGACTGAGCCACCCAGGCACCCCAGTAATGGGTACTTTTAAAAAGAAAAAAATCATCTATAATTCCACCATTCAGTGATTATCAACATTAACATTTTGTGGAAACACTGCTATATTTTGAGAAGATTTAAAAGAAACTTAAGATATTTCAGATGAAAATGTGGCTCATCTATGTTAACAGACTTGCCCAGTGTAAATGTGGTGGAGCTAGTTTTTGATATTAGATTTGTGGATTTTAAAAACATTTTTAATGAGTTTCTGTATATAGATTTTAATAATAAAAATTTAACTTAAACTCTGAGAAGAAATGCATAGCATGCTTATGTGTAAAGATTTAAAAACACATGAATTCCTATGTGCTTCCATTGTGTACTCCAGGGGAAAAAGCTGGTAGAGACAAATGATTTAAAGATTTAAAAAGTACTGTTAAGTGGTAAGTGGCATCTCAGGTCAAATAATATCCTGGAATAGAATCTATCTTTATAAGTAGCATTTTATACTTAAGTGGAGCTATACTCTTTATTCAGTAATCACAAAAAAGGTATCAAGTTTTGAGGTTCAAGAAATATGCAGTGACTGTTGGATGTTTGATGTTTTTTTTTTCACACTTGAATGATTGTGTGAAATTGATCTTCTCTAGAGGGAAATATTCAGTCTAGCCTGGTAGATTATCTAGACTTCATGGCAAAGTGTTTTTGATCACCTTCAAATCTAGTATATCCTCCTTAAAAATCACATTCAGCTGTTCTTCCCACACATGTGAGCTAGAAATCCAAGAGGAAACTTTTTTTTTTTATCTTAGAGTTTGCCAGATTTGGCAATAGTCTCGGTTTCATTTTTGTTTTCTTGTAAAAAGAAATAATTTTTTCCTAAAATGACATTGTTATCACTTAATTAGACACTCTTACGAATCCCAATACAGGACCATCTTTAGCATAGCTTTTTGTTTTTTATTTTAAAATTAATATTAAATGTTTCATTTAATATAAAAGTTGACTCATCAAACATTGAGGACAGTTATGTGTAAGACCTATACTAGGTACTGTGAATGAATCAGAATGGATAAGACATGGTCTCTGGCCTCAGCAAATCTATAATTTATTAGAGGAAATTACTCATACACAGAAAGAATATACATAATAAAACAAGTGTATAGATGTCATAAAGTACTAGAAAATCCATGGGCATTCTGAGGCTATAATTCATAATACTATTTAATCAACATGTTGATACCATACAATAAATGATTGCAGGTCGAGAGGAAATCAACATTTGGGTGTTTACTGTGGACCTGGGACAATGTTAGACACTTTATACATCTCATTTATCCATATCCACCCTTTGGGTTAAGTAATATTTCCCTCATTTTACATTTGAGGAAATTGAAGCTCAGATAGTTTAAATAAGTACCCTAAGGTCACACATTGTATTATGGTGGATCTGGGATTTTGAGACTTTGAGAACCAGGTTGCCTCCCTAGCACCCAATTTCTAGGTTTAGGATAGCCATTATCTCTGGCTGTTGAGCAAGTAGGTCAGGGTTTTTCTAGGTGGTAAGTGACTATTGTGCACTAGACACTAGAGGAGGGCCCCAGCGCAGTCCTTCTAAGGCTCTTTGGTCAACACTTAATTGCTATCTTGGATGTCTTAATAAATAACAGTAACTGTCATGGTCTAATAGACCACGCTGTGTTTTTTTTTTTTTTTTAAAGATTTTATTTATTTATTTAATTGACAGAGAAAGAGAGAGAGAGAGATAGCATGAGAGGGAACACAAGCAGGGGGAGTGGGAGAGGGAGAAGCAGGCTTCTAGCTGAGCAGGGAGCCCAATGCGGGGCTCGATCCCAGGACCCTGGGATCATGACCTGAGCTGAAGGCAGATGCTTAACCAACTGAGCCACCCAGGCGCCCCTAGACCACTCTGTATTGTCTAGCTATTGGTACTCTTTGTGTAGTTCTTATGATTGTTCTCATGCTCGTTGTTGGTGACTATAGCTGGAGGTGAGAGGATTATTGTATTTGTAAACTATAGTTTAAGACCTACTCCTTTGCTTTTCCTTAGGGTGGCGTCCCAAAGGGCTACTAGTTGCACATCTTCATGAACACAAATCTGCTGTGAATCGAATTAGAGTCTCTGATGAACATTCACTTTTTGCAACATGTTCAAATGATGGCACAGTGAAAATCTGGAACAGTCAAAAGATGGAAGGGAAGACCACCACTACCAGGTAATAATGCTTGGGAGCAGAATCCATTTAGTCAATCAACAAATGTTTATTGAGTGCTCACTCTGACAGGTGCTATTTTAGGAACCAGGGATATAGCAATGGTAAATGGACAAAAATACCTGTTCTGTGGAGCTTTCCTTCTTGTGAGAGGTGACAAACAATAAACAGTATAAATAAGTAAAACATATAGTATGTTAAATGGTAAAAAATGTTATGGAGAAAAATATAGCAGGAAAGAGGGATACGGAATAGAGTAGGGGTTGCGGTAGATAGAATGTTAAATAAATTGAACTAGAGACTGCCTCACAGAAAAGATCATTTGAGGAAAGACCTGAAACAGGTGAAGGAAAGAGTCATATGTATATCTTGGGGGGAAGAGCATTCTAGGCAGAGGAAAGAGGGATTTCAAAGGCCCTGAGGTAGAAATATGTTTGGCATCTCTTGAAGAACAGCAGAAACGTCTGTGTGGAGCAGAGTGAGCAAGAGGGAGGAGTAAGAGGAGCCAGATTACATAGGGCCTTGTAGGCTACTGTAAAGGACTTTGATTTTTATTCTGAGTGAGATGGGAGCCTTTGGAGGGTTCCAAGCAGAGGAGACATGATCTAAGTTAAATTTTAATAGAATTACTGTGGTTCTAATGTATTGAGGATACTGAAGCTGTCAGAGGCTCTTAGGGTAATTCAAGCAGACGTGGAGGTAGTGGGAAATGGTCAGACTCTGGATATATTTTGATGGTAGAGCCAACAAGATTTGCTAAATGGGTTAGATGGAGCATGAGCAAGATAAAAGTAACAAATGATGGAATGACTAGCTATGTAAGGAAAACACTTACTGTACCATTGCCCCACTGTTATGGTCAAGATGGAGACTAGTTATGACTTGAAATCTCTAAGACTCTTTGTGCATGATGTGATTTTGGTGAGTGTGGTTTAGATTTGTACACTTTTATAGTTATGTCCCTTCTTGATATGCAGTCTTTCTGTCTGCCAGTTCCCCATTCCCCCATCCTCATTAGTCCTACCATTTTCGTATTTGTTCTGTGCCTAAGTTTGGTCTGGGTCTGAATAGAAAGCTACTCGAAATCAAAATTGAATTTCATGTGTAAAAAAGATGTGGATAATCTCTGGTGCTTTTCTTGTTATCAGTTCAGTGACTACAGCTAACCATAAAATCATCAAACAAAATATCTTTGATAACTAAAATAAGTTGAAAGTTTACTCTTAACAATGTGGTAGTTTTGTGCTGTTCATTTTTTAAAAGAGCTCTATATTTTTACTCTGTGCTTAATTATTTTCATGTTATTCTTTCTTGGCTTGCATTGGTCGGAACATAAATCAAAACCAGTAACAGAATCCTGGCTCCATTTAGTAATTTTTTGTCAACACTTTATCATGAAATTCCAAACCTATAAGACTTTCACAGTGAACATTCATATACTTGCCACACAGATTCTGTAATTTTACTGTATTTGCTGTGTCATGTAATTATCCATCCTCCTATCAGTTCATCTTCTTAAAATATATTCCACAATAAGTTGCAGACGTTAGTACACTTCCCCTAAACACTTCAGCTTATTTATCATTAACTAGAGATCAGTACGTGTTTATAATTTTGTTTGGCATGAAATTCATATGCTATGAAATACACAGATTTTAAGTGAACCATTCTGTACGTAACATAAACTTGGCAACTTAAACCACTCTCAAGATACAGAATGTAGCCATCACACCAGAAGAATGTCCCCTAATATCCCTTCACAGAAAACCCTGCCTTCTCCCTGCCTACAACCATTCTTTTGATTTTTTTCCCCACCACTGTTAGCATTTTCATTAGTATTTTAAACACTTCTTGTAATTATTTTTCAAATGGCTCTTTGTTACTATCATCATCAGTTGAATTCATTGTCCCTTTTATTAGGAGGGGAAGTTCAGTTGACATGTGTAAACCTCTCAAGAAACAACTGGAATCATTGATTAACTTTAAAAAGTCTCATTTGTTAATTCCCAAATGATTTTTATTACTGAGCCATGCCTTCTGTATTCCATTGTCATATTTCAGAGAATGGTATCCCAGTGTCACATTTCAGACAGTGGTATCCCAGAAAATGTGGCAGTTTAGCTGACTGTATAGTCTTTGGGAAGTTTGTATGATAATTAGAAGATTGGATTTCCTGCGGATGCAGCTGCTCTCTCGCTTTTCTGAAACCCCTGCTGTCTTGTTTGTGGAGTGCTGTAGGCCTTGGCTTGGGGGTGCTTCATTCCACAGTGGGGAAGAGGGGAAGGGAACAGAATGTGTTACCCTCATCATATGCCTTCATGAACTGGATTAGGAGAGAAGCAGGTCATTATTATCGCCAGATCCAAGTGGGGAACAGCTGGTGGCTGGGAAAGAGCAACAAAACTTAGAAAAAGTATTTTCTTAGGAAATGTTACTAGTATATTCTGACTACTGAGGTTTTTCCTCTATGCGTTACATTGGCTGACCACCCAGTTCCCAGTCCTGACTTTCTCATTGAATATGATTGTGATTTAGGCCATCCAGCTCTTGGCCCTGCCATTTTCTTCTTTCTTGAGTTAAACTTTTGGTTTGTCCCCTGGGGACTAATCTGTGAAAAATTGCTATTTTTCTAAACTTTTACATAAAGTTTTTAAAAACATAATCCTTTATAGTATTGTAAATTATATTTTCCATATATGCTTCTTGTGTTACCCTATTTTGGGCTCATTTAACTTCTCAGTTTTAGAGGAGGTTGATGAATTTGGTACTTCTTGAATGTGATGATAAAACATCTCAGTGGAGTTTTGTCTCAATGAAGAGTTGACACAATATGAGAGGTGTGCAAGAAAGTTACAGTGTTACATATTTTAGAGTTGCTGATAGTGTTGGAGGTTGAAGTTTTTGAGTGGTGTGGCTACTCTGAAGAAAAGGGAGCATAAAGGCCTATAAAAGGCCTGAGGATGCCTGAGGCCTTAATCTTTACCAGTTGAATTTTGGGGACGGGAAGATTGTGGTCAGGAAAGGAGAAAGAAGAAGCCATTTGAGTTACATTAAACTGCAATAGAAGAAAGAGTTTTAAGAAGGGAACTTAGAGGCAGCTCTCAAATGCAATAAAAAAGCCAACTAGCATGAAAACCTAGTAAGGCCATTGGGCATTCTCACACAGGGCCCTTTGGTGGAATGCAATTGATACATCCATCATCCTTGGAGGGCTTTTTGACAATACATATTACAAGCATTTAGGATGTCCATATCCTAAGGAAATGACTAAGAATGAACTGAGAGATTTAGTTTTTAAGGGCTGTTCAGATTGGCTTCCTTTATAATAGTAAAAAATTAGAAACAAACCAGAGGTTCAGCAGTAGAGGTAAAATTGGATAATAAGTCCTGGTGCAAATACAAAATTGATGTTGTGGGAATAAGTTTTTTGATATAGAATATATTGATACATTGTGTGAGAAATTAGGTTTAAGAGGGAGGTTTAAGAACTCATACAGGGTTTCTGTTTTTGGAATGACTAAGGATTTCTAAAAATCTCCTCTTTAATAATATTAGAACACTGGTAGGTACTGTTAAAATCAACTTTTTCAGGGGTGCCTGGGTGGCTCAGAGGGTTAAGCGTCTGCCTTCAGCTCAGGTCATGATCCCAGGGTCCTGGGATCGAGCCCCGCATCAGGCTCCCTGCTCGGCGGGGAGCCTGCTTCTCCCCCTCCCTCTGCCTCTTCCCCTGCTCATGCTCTCTCTTTCTCTGTCTGTATCTCTGTGTCTCGAATGAATAAATAAAAAAATCTTAAAAAAAAAATCATTTTTTTCAGAACTCTAGAAATTAACTAAGTCCTGCATTAGTCTGAAGAGTGTTATTCAAGAAAATCAACTGACTCTTAGAACAGTCAGCCATGTGTCTCTAATTTTATCCCCTTTTACCAAGCAGTGCAGTAGCTTTAAAAACTGATAGTCCCCCAACCTTTTATCATGCTGTGCAGTAACTTTGAAAATCAGTCCCACAACTGTGGTAACCATGAAAACCAGCAGCTTAGTAGTGAGTGGAGGGGTCATAATGGCTAAAAGCCCCATTTCTAGAGAATTGTCACTATTTGACCTTTCTGCCAGTTTGCTGAAAGCTCCCTCCTCCTCGGGGTCTATCTTTATTTGATCTGATTCATCCTGTTCTTTGAGAAAAACTCTGGCCACAGGGCATTTGTTGAAATTATCAATGTTGTTTGTTTAACATTGCAGCAGCCTAAGGGTGGCATTACCAGTTGTAGCTAAAGAAGGCTAACAAAAAACTTACAAGGAAGAACTAGGGAATGATATGTCTTGTAGGGGCCTTTGGAAAGTTCAGACATATTCATGGATATCTGTAAGGCCACATGCATGTATAGGGTTGTGTGCATGCCCAAGAAAGAACTGAGAAGACCCTGAGTTCTTGCCTCTGGCTGACCTTGAGACTCTGTGCAAGCAGGAAATGAAAGATAAGGCAGAATTGTAAACTGCTTTGTTGAAGGTATGCCACAAACACAGAGAACCTCAACAAAGGCTAGAACACTTATCATTTCAAGGCATGTAAGGAAATGTCTGTCTAGTCATTAGCCAACCACTAAGTTAATTGAACAAAGACTTTAGTGGCTATGCATGAGAAAGACTATGGACTTTAGAGAATTAATCCAGGGAGAGTCACTAAATAAACAGCAACAACCTTGGAATATTATTTCCAAAACTGACATAGAATATCTAGTTTTGAACAAACAAACTGCAGGTCAGGAAAAGAAACGTGACAGTATGGTCTATATACAGGAAAAAAAGCAGTCAATGAGTGGAAACTGTTCCTCAGTAATCCCAGATATTGGACTTACTAGACAAAGACTTTAAATTAGCTATTAAAAATACTTTCAAAGAATTAAACCATGTCTAAAGAATTTAAAGTAAATTAAGAAAATGTCTCACCCAATATACATATCAATAAGGAGATAGAAGTGATCAATAGAAATTCTGAAGTTGAAAAA